CCTCTCCCACTCCCCCTGCTTGTGTTCTCTCTCTCGCTGTGTCTCTCTCTGTCAAATAAATAAATGAAAAAATCTTTAAGAAAAAAAAAGAGTCTCTCTCCTCTCTGTCCCCCTTTTCTCTCTCTCCCTCTCTAAAATAAATAAATAAATAGAATTTTTAAAACATTAAAATGTTGACAGTAGCATTTCTGGGTTGTGGATGACTATAATAATTTCCTTGCAATTATTTGTACTTCCCCTATTTCCTCCCCCCCCCTTTTTTTAGAGAGGGAAGAGGTGGGGGGCAGAGGGAGAGGGAGAAAGAGAATCCTAACCAGGCTCCACGCCCAGTGGGGAGCCTGGCATAGGGCTCGAGCTTATGAGATCAGGACCTGAGCCAAAATCAAGAGTCAGATACTTAACCGACTGAGCCATCCAGGTGCCTCTCACCTAACTTTTTAAATGAGAAAAATATCATTTTTAAAAAATATTTAATTAATTTATTTATTTGAGAGAGAGAGAGAATGAGTGGGAGAGGGGCAGAGGGAAAGGGAGAGAATCCCAAGCAGACTCTGCACTGAGTGCAGAGCTGGACTCAGGGCTCAGTCCCATGACCCTGAGATCATGACCTGACCAAAACCAAGAGTCAGATGCTCAATTGAGCCACCCAAGCGCCCCAGAAAAATATCATTTTAATTAAAAAATTAAGCACGTAGGGCAAAAGAGTGGCTGAAATCAGGCAATGAGGTCTGGAGCATCACAAACAGATCTACAAGTCCCTAATTTCTGGGAGTTTTGAGCACTGAGAGTGGACACACCATGTGAACACACTTTCCAAACCACACCATTGAGAAGACTCACCTTGACGACACAGCCCTCAGCCTCCCACAGGCCCCTGGATCAGCCTGTGGGGAGCCTGGTCCTGCAGCCCCAAATTAATATCTTATCAATCCCATGGAAATACTTGGCATCCACGAGATTGAGAAAAACTGACCTGGACATTTTTCAGAACCAACTGACTTTAAAAAAAAAAAAGAAAAAAAAGCTTATGATATCATCTAGCTATTTTTTACCTCTTAATTTACCTTTTTTATATCTAAAATATATGCATTGAGTATCTGACATTTACATCGTGGTAATCTACTTTAAAATGGTGATCTTTTTCTCAGGAACTGCCAAACCATTACAATCTTAAGGACATTTTTATTTATAACTGGTAAAAGTTTTATAACTCTCCAAAAGTTTGCCCTGGTGCTTTGGTCATTTAATAACTGATGTTTAGTTAAATTTCCATGTTCTATTGCATTTGACTAAGAATAAAGGATGTAGAGGAAAAAAATTCCTGGGTCACAGAGCCTCTGTATTTTACACAGAAGATTCCCACTTACAATTCTATTGCTATCAATGAACAAAGGTTAAGAAGGGAGTATAATAATCAGTAATAATAACTAGCAACCGGTTGAGTGTTTTCTAGGTGTTAAGTCTATTACATGTATTTTCTCATTTGATGAGGTTGCTAATAATGCGGCTTACCCAATAGAACTCATGTATATGCCCATTTTATGGATGAGGAAATGGAGGTTAGTGAGCTGTAGGGCTGAGTCAACAGAGCGTAACTTGAGAACTGTGGCCAATAGGTTCAGGCTGGACAGAGAAGCTGGGAGAACATACGTGGGGCCACTTGCCAGGACCTCTCAATGTGATGCCAGAGTTCTGTGCTCGGGTTTGAAGCCCTCACTGCCAAAGTTAGAATATATATGTGTATATGTGTGTGTGTACATATAAACATATATTTTTATGTATATATATATATATATATATATACATAAATATAAATCTTATGTGCACCCCTACTCCTCCCCATAAACCTGGAAGTGCTATTTCTAAATCGTTACCACCGTGGGTGTGTTGGTTTCCGGGATTTCCTCTCCTTTTGGTGGATGGGTGGCTGATGCCATTCCTGGTCTCTGATGTGTCTCTCTGGAGAATGTTCTTAAGGAGTGGGCAGCTTTTTGCTTACCTGGCTGGGTCTCTCACCCCTTCTGTGGGACTTGAACAGAGGACACCAACCACGGGAAGAGGAGAGCCCCATTCAGGCTGTTCTGTCCACAGCCCGCCCCAGGCTTGCACAGCTCCCGAAAGGGGACAGGATGCGGCAGGGTTTCCAGGGTACCCCTGGGCCTAGGGTTGATTTTGACACATTCACAAATCAGAGCTTGATTTTGAACGTTTGGAGCTTCATTTTCTGGACGCTTTGCTACTTCTTGAACATCTCCATTATAATCAAGACCAATTTTCTAAAACAATTCAGGACAATTCACAACTCTTGCAAACTTACCTCCCCCCGCCTTACTGTTGCTCAAGGAAATGTTCCCTAGGACTTTTCAATAAAACTGTGACCCTTCATCTCACGGGGAACGTGACTGTGCAATCCCGAGGAGCCTTCTTCCCCCTTAGTCTCTGAATTACATAATGAGCAACGGCTAGAAAGAAGAAATTAAATTTGAAAGTAAAACAGGAGAGCCGTGAGAAGGGAAAAAGAGGCACTGGAGAAAGGCTGTCTAAATCCTGTTGACTTAATAGTGAGATGGAAAAAAGTAGGTG